AAAAAAAGTTGTCTTAAATGCACAATTTTGGGGGTAAAAAAAATGACATGTATGGTAACCATACAACTTAATTTTACAAAGAACCGTTTGAGGCAATGGCTTTGTAGGTAGAGAAGTGTGCCCTTATATCCAACAAAACTCAAGTCTATTTCAGTCAGGTGAGCCGGTTCCCAAGAGTTAAACAGCCAGAAGTGTGACCACAATGGAAGCTGCTCAAGTTTAGGAAATGACCTGGCCAAGTCCTCTCACTGCGTCCTGTGAGATCTGACTTCCACCCCATTGGTCACCGCTTGCGTTTCTACCGCCCCAGTTTGCAATAGGCACAAAGTGCCAGGGCACAAAGTCGGACCAATGAGTAGATCATTTGGGAATGGGGGTAAAGGGCAAGGTGTAACCGCAGGCCAGACGACCCGAGCACAGCCAGGGCAGATGCCCCCGGCTTGACCCCACCACCCTGGTTGCCAGGCTCACAGACCCGGAGCCTGGGGTTTGCTCCCCACTCATTGGTCTGCAGAGAAGCGTCTCCGAGGAATCTTTGTTACCAGCGGCCAGGACGAGAGCCCATTGGTTCAGGAACCCTCACAATGGCCGGCTGCGCGCAGGAGTCTCCGGATTGGTTCGCTGCGGGCGGCGGGGAGACCCCTGTTGCCTTAGCGCGGGCAGGCTCCCCGGCGCCCGGCGTCGAGCGCGCACCAGACAGCCTGTTCCCCATTGGCTGTTCGCGGGGCCGCCGCCTTCTAAAGAGGAGCTGGGGCCGAGCTCCGGAGCGCGTGCTCGGTGGGGCGGGACCAGATCCCGCCCTATCCCGCCTGACTGCGACCCCCACTCCTCCGCTGGGCCTACCGTGCCCCCTCGGGAGCCCCCTCTCCGTGAGACCTCTGCACCTGCAATCTAGAACTCAACCAGTAAAGGCCCAGAAGTTCGAAGCCCGCGGCAGGTGTGCGAACCCACTCGGGCCCGCGGGAGAGGGGCATCCTGGCCCCAACTGTGCGCCTCTGTCTTGTGCTCCCCTAAATCGATTGCCCTCCAATTGTTTATCGTTTCATTTCTTTGGTTTCTGGGTAACCCGCTGTGGCACGCGTCCAGAATCGTGTACCTCTCCAACCCCAACCCCGTTAGGAATCCAGCGTCCCAGATTTCTGATTCGCGATCAGAATAGAGGCTGGTGGAAGAGGGTGAAACCCACGAGGGACGATGTTCTACTATCCCAATGTGCTTCAGCGCCACACTGGCTGCTTCGCCACCATCTGGTATGGGCCAGGCTTGCAGAGCTTGCCAGGAGGGCATGCCCACGGGCCTGCTGTCACCCCTGCTCCAACCCACCCCACCCTCCACTCTCCAGGCTGGCAGCCACCCGAGGCAGCAGGCTGGTGAAGCGGGAGTACATGAATGTGAATGTGGTGAAGACATGGTAAGCCCAGAAAAAGGGGGCAGCTTGGTGTGTTTGTGGAGCAGTGTTGGGTTGGGGGTGGTGTGGATGGGAGTGGGCACACTGGTCACTGGGGCATACTGTTCCCCTAGCGAGGAAATCCTCAATTATGTGCTGGTACGAGTGCCACCCCAGATGCCCGGCTTGCCACGGCCCCGCTTCTCTCTCTATCTCTCAGCCCAGCTCCAGATCGGGGTGATCCGGGTCTACTCTCAACAGTGCCAGTACCTCGTAGGTAAGGATGGCACCGCTGTGCTGGGAGGTAGGGCAGAGCTGAGCGTCCTCACCCAAGTCTCTCCCTGCCCACAGAGGACATCCAGCACATTCTGGAGCGCCTACACCGCGCGCAGCTGCAGATCCGCATCGACATGGTGGAGACGGACCTGTGCGTGTCCCTCTCCCTGCTCCCCCCTTTGGTAGGGAACTCCCCTGCTTGGTGTCGGGCCCTCTCAGTCTCAGTTCTTGACAGCCCCCATTCTCCCCAAGGCCCAGCCTGCTTCCTAACCGTCTGGCCATGATGGAGAACCTGGAAGATGCTCCAGACCCCTTTTTTGGCCTGATGTCTGTGGACCCCAGATTTCTCAGCCCCTTCAGTATCCCTCAGGTAGGGTCATTCTACTGGGGCACCTCTGACCGATGAGTTGGCAGGGCAGGGGTCAGGGGCTGCTAGGTTTCTCTATGACCTCCATGACCTCCAACCATCCCCGACGTCCACACAGCGTGGACAATGTCACTCCCTTCACAGATGCTTGCCAGTGGCAGCCCCTGCAAATTGCAGAGTAGCACTGGGGGCTCTCTGGACCCCGGTGCAGAGCTAGCCACCCCCAGACAGCTCTCAGCATGTCCTCTGGGCACCTTTTTGGTTCCCCCACACCAGTCTTGCCCCTTATGTCCCCAAACCGCCACATTCATGCCTTTGTTTGTGCCATTTCCCTAGCCCATTACAGACACCCCTCATTCCCTACTAGTTAAGCCTCACCTATCCTTAAGCACCTGCTTCAGATGCTGCTGTTCTCTCTCAGACATTTCTCTCACTTCTGGTCAGAACCAGGTGTTCTCTGGAGTTTAGTGCATCATCAGGCCCTTGTTTTATCCTTTGTGTTGATCTGTTGGGCTTGTATACACACTTGTCGCCCCACTGGGCTGGGTGCTCCTGGACATGGGAGCTCCTGGTAGGCACATACCATAGAATGTTACATTGTTTGAATGAGGCTGTGCAAGGGGGAAGAGGTTGCTGCTGAAGCTGAACCTTTTGTCCCTGACCCCTCCCCAAAGATTCGACACCTCCTAGAGGCTGCAACTCCAGAAAGAGTTCTTGAGGAGACCCTGCCGGAAGTCCCTACAGAGCCTAGGAAACCAGGTGAGCAGCCTTCTTTTTGGTGAGAAGCATAGGAAGGCCTGAGAGTTGAGGACATGACCTTTTTTAAGCTTTAAAGAGCCAGATTCCATTGGGGACGCTTTATGTTAATCCCTTCACTGCTTCACAGTAATTCTGAGGTCAGAATTCTTACCCCCGTTTTACAGAGGAAAGAGGGGTCCCTCAGTCTATCTATATACCTAGTGTCGGATTGCCGGTGACAGGCCTGGAGCGGATTAGAAGACAGGCTGACCTGGCTCCAGCATCCGTGCTTTAGCTGGCCACGTGGGTGTAGGAACTTGGGAAGAAGCAGGGGCTAGTGTGACTTCCTTGACTTCCCAGAGAGGATCCAGGACACCGTGCTGTCTCCCAAGCTTATCACCATCCAGGATGCAGAGCCCATACGCATGCTGCAGATTGAGGTGAGCTGCCTGCACACAGCGTCTGTGGCCGGTCCAGCTTCTGACAGCCCAGGCCCTTGCACCTATGTCTCTGCCCCCGCAGTCCTGTCTTCCACCTCCATTGCCCCAGCCCCTGCACACTCAGTGGCTTCCTCACGTCCCCGGGTGGCCTGCCCCCGATGTCGCCTAGGTCCACTTGCCTTTTTCAGAAATTACATGCTCTCTCCCAAAAGGGTGAGCAGGACCTCCCCGAGGTCAGCCGCCGAGACTTGGACCTGCTGATTGCCGAGGAAGATGAGGCAATCTTGCTAGAGGAACACCGGCGAGGCAGGCCTCTCCCGGCACTGGACGGTAATGCTCCTGGCACAGGCATGCTGGGTCAGGGAGTGCTCCCAGCTCTTCTGCCTCCTGAGCCCTGATCATCTCTCTGCAGAGTCCAAGGAGGAGCCCCGGGGCCTGGAGGGGGACATCACAGTTCCCCCGCTCTCACCTCCAACTCTTGTACCGTAAGGGTGGGAACCCCTGGGTCAGGTGGGGGACCAGTGCTGGGAGAGATGCATCATTTTTCTCGCCCATTTCCTGTCAGGGTGGAAAGGCCAGCAGAACCAACTTTGAGCCAGACCCTGGACCTTGAAGCACCGAAAGTGCCAGGCTGGGAGCCTGGGGCCCCACTTCCTGGTGAGTACCTGCCACGCCTGGGAGCCTCCTAGGGACACCTGCACCACTACTGGACAAGAACCTTGTATTCCAACTTGCTAAAGGGAGGGGCCTCTAGATTTTTGCCCAAGTGGCTACAAGGACATGGGGTGCGGGCAGAGTCAGAACCTGGGGTGTCGTTGCAGAAGTGACTCCCCCGCAGAAGCTGCCTCTGCCAGCCCCACTCAGCCCAGAGGTGAGTAGGGCCCCTTCTAAGCCTGCTCCTTTGCCCTCCCCTCCCAGCGCTGCTCAACCCTCTTCAGCTTCCCCAAGCCCAAGGTCAGTGCTAGTGGCCTTCATGCAAGTCAGTGGACAGATCGCCCTGCCACACCCTATCCTGTCAGCCTGACCTCCCAGATGCTCTGTTCTGGTCCCCAGTGGGAGCTGTCCAAGCCCTTTTCCAGATATCTCAGGCCAGGAGCCTGTATGCAGCTCACCAGGGTGGTCCAGAACACAGGAGTGTTCTGCCCACAGCCAAGGCTGGTTCAAGGCTGGTCTGTGTGGCCCTGCCCCCTCCTCCCCACCCCTCCCCATGCAGAGGAGGAAGCCGCCGGTCTCTCCATCTCCTGAGAGCCCACCACCCCGCCGCCACCGCCGCCGCCAGTTACTCTTCTGGGACAAGGAGACTCAGATCCCCCGGGAGAAATTCCAGGAACAGCTACAAACCAGAGCCCACTGCTGGGAGTGTGTGAGTGCCACTCAGGCTCTGGGGGCGGAGGGAGTCTGGAGGGCCTGGGCCAGGGCCAGGGGCAGGTGCAGGCTGGACTCGACAACTCCGGGACATAGTGGGAACAGTCCCCAGTGCATGCCTGGGGGTTGTACATGCACAACTCTCCGTGCTCTTTAGTGGCCATGCTGGCACATCCAGGGTACCAGTCACAAAGCCCAGCTTTAGGAATGAACAGAGCTGGTAGGACATGAGCCAGGAGATGGAAGGCCAGAGGCGCAGGAACAGGCATCGCGGGGAAAGGGTAATGAGTGGCGCCCTCCTAACCAGCCTCTGCACTTGCCCACCACACAGCCCATGGTGCAGCCTCCTGAGAGGACCATCATAAGCCCTGCAGAGCTGTTCCGAACCCCGACTCATGGTAAGGGTGTTGGGAGTTGGCATGTAGGATCCTCTGAATTTGATGTTCCTCACACCTCAAACCCTGTCCTTAGCTGGCTGGCTACCACCAGAACTGCTCGCTCTCTGGACCCACTGTGCCCAGCCACCTCCAAGAGCACTCAGGCGAAAGCCACCCCAGGAGCCGGAAGAGGCTGCTGAGAGGGAGGTGGCAGCCGAGGAAGAAAGGAGAAAGACTGAAACGCTGAGTGACATTGAGGTAATTCCCCTTACCCCTTCCTGGAGACTGGTCTGCTTGCTGGAGCTCCAGTAGGCTGTCTCCTGCTCACGTGAGCCAGCAGTGCCGAGTCTTGGGCCCAGGTCGTGTGCTGTCCTGGAACCAAAGCTGGCTCAGCAGTGGGAACTTCACCCCTGACGCAGGTCTTCTGTGGTACTGGGTTTCAGTGGTCTCTTTCTTATTCCCAGGTCCTAAGGGAGACCCAGGAGCCCAGTGGGCCCCTTATGCTGTCTTCAGGTAAGCACTTGGCGAGAAGGGGACGGTAGACACTACCACACTTATCCCTGTCCAAGGGAAACTGGTACCCCAACTGCCAAGTCTTTATCAGAGGGAACATGTAACACGGTAGAGCACATGTTCTTCAACCTGGGTGCTTTCAAGTCACTGCCCACCTATGGCAACCAGTTCAACCAGGTGGCGCTAAGGAGCCTGGCCCTCCCCCCAAGACCTTCCGCTTCCTCCACAGAGCTGTCCCTGGAAATGGCTGAGGAGAAGTCCCGTACCAGCCTCATCCCCCCCGAGGAGCGGTGGTAAGCAGCCAGCCCGGGTGGGTTTGGCCTTAGCCTGCCAGGTGGCAGACAGCAGCCGGGATGGGTGTGCCGCTGCAGCTGCCTTCTCTGCCCCAGCTCTCATGTTCTCTCAGGGCCTGGCCTGAGGTGGAGCAGCCGGAACCCCCTGCATTGCCCGTGGTGCCTGAACTCCCTGAGGTGCCCATGGAGATGCCTTCAGAGCTGTCACCAGACCTGGAACTGCTGAGCCTGGAGGCTGTGCACAGGTACCAGGGAAGGGGCACCCTCGGTGGGGTGGGTCTGGGCCGGGGCCTACACTAACAGTTCTCATCCCCACAGGGCAGTGGCACTACAGCTGCAAGCCAACCGGGAGCCCGACTTCAGCAGTCTGGTGTCACCTCTCAGCCCCCGCAGGATGGCTGCCCGGGTCTTTTACCTACTCCTCGGTGAGTGTGGTCACCTGTGACGGTCACCTGTGTGTTAGGGACACGCACACCGGAGGCCACTGTAGGAATGTTCCAGCTCACCCTCTCCTCCCTCTTGCTAGTGCTCTCGGCACAGAAGATCCTTTGTGTGGAACAAGAGGAGCCCTACGGACGTCTCCTGATCCAGCCCGGGCCCCGTTTCCACGTTGGCTAGACCATGAACAGAGACGCCAGGAAATCAGCTGTATTAAACATGTTTTGCCTCATTAGACCCTGGCTTGCCTCGTTTCTGAACCTGCACTTCTAACTCTGTATCAAAGCTTCTGTTCAAGCAGAAAACAAACTGCCTTTATTACAGTATGATGTCATGGATCTGCTGGCATTGTCCCACTGTGGACCAGATGGAGTCCCAGAACCATAAGGCAGCAAGAGGGCTCAGAGTCTCCAGCTGGGAACCGTAAGGCAGCAAGAGGGCTCAGAGTCTCCAGCTGGGTGTGAGAGTCCCAAATCTTTGGTAAGGTGTGTACTGGAACTGGGGGCCTGGACAGGCGCTCTTCTCTCCGGCCCAGCTGCAGCCCACAATATCTAGGTGAGGCCCAGGGCAGCCTGAAGCTCTTGGGCCTTGTCGCCAGGCAACGAGCCTAGTGCTGAGTGGAAGCTGTCGTTGTGCTGTTTGGCCAAGAAGGTCAGGAGCAGCAGCAGTGCCGTCTTTGTGTCTGGAGAGAGTGGAGGAGGGTTGACGCCCAGCCCTTAGCTGCCCCACACCCTCCGCCCAACACTGCCCCCCTCACCTGCCGGGATCTCATCAGGCAGCACGAGGCTGCAGATGCGCAGAAGCTCGGGAGCAACATCTACAACCTGCAGGAAAATGGTGACTCAGGGGCAGCAGCACCCGGGGCCCCAGCACTAGGTGGTGGGGACAGAGGGGTGTCGCGCCAGGACTGTTTGAGATTGATAATGATTCAGAGGCATCCAAGACAATGGGAGAAGAACCCATGAAACACTTTCCGGAGGGGACAGGATGGTGACCTAAGGTCACTGACGTCCTGGTCTCAAGACCAAGATGCCAGGAGCTCCACTAACCAGCTGCTAAAGCTGTTGACACTAACACGAGTCCAAACCCAGCCACTTAGTACAGATATGTTCTCCTCAGAATATGCTCTATAGGAATGGATGGTGGGGTGGCCCAGAGGTACCCAGGTTCAATAGAACAGTCTGAAAAATTAGGAAACTGGCCTCGGAAAGCAGCAACTTCTGGCTGAGATCAGAGTAGAAATGACCACGGAGCAGGGTGTTTGCCTAAGGAAAACCACTATGTGGAGAGGGCGCCCTGGCTCCCCTGCCGTAAGCCTGGCCGCCGATCCTTGGAGATCGATGAGAAGACAAGTGTGGAGTGTGGCCGGGCAGCTCAAATTGCCGCTGCCTGTCACCGAGACCGGAGTGTCCAGATCCCCTTCCTGGGTACCCAGCTGGAGGTTACCTGGTCAGGGCTGTTCCGGTACAGGAAGCTGAAGAGGTGCCCGATGGTGACCCACTCCTCCAAGTCCTCCTTCAGGGGCAGGGCATGCAGCAGAGCGGCCAGCACCTGGACACACAGGGCTCAGGGCGCTGGCCCTGCCGCCTCTGGACCGCCCCGGCTCCTGCCCTGCCTAAGGCCCTCGTCTCTCACCTGGGGCTCTGGTTTCCTGGTGGGACTGGCCATCAGTAGGCGGGCGAGTGCCCCACAGATGTTGTCTCGGACACGGTCATGGCGCTCCCTGGCCAGGAGGGGCAACAGGAGCCCCAGCAGCTTAGGGAAGTGTCTGGTTCACAGTCAAGGAACAGGGACACACAGCAGACCCCTCCCGCAGGCCTCAGCCTGAGATGCCCTCCCCCCTCCTCACCCTGCCGCCCCCACCTGTAAGCGAGGATACTCCTGGGCGGGGCGACCCCCATGCTCTGCCAGCACACCCAGCCCAAAGATGGCATTACTCCGCACCTCAGGGTCTGCCTCCCGGGCAGTGCTCAACAGCACAGGGAGCAGCCGGGACACAAACTGAGCTGAGGCAGGACCCAGGCCCTGAATGGACTCTGCCAGAGTCCCTACTGCAAAGGACTTCTCTGCCACCGTGCAGCTCTGTTTCTGTTGGGGGGAAGCGAGCACGGCAAGTCACCCAGGGGCTAGGGCAGGGTAAGGGCGAGGGGCAGGGCTGGGCACAGGGCACAAGGGCAGAACGGAGTTAAAAATCGGAGAAGAGAGCACTCACCGTCTTGCAAAGCAGTAACGGCAAAAAACCAGCAAAGAAGGGGGCAAAGGTGTCTCCCCCGGCTGCTGCAGCCAGGGCAGGGAGGGCCTCACCAGCATGCTCCAGCAACATGGCGTCATATTCAGCCTGTGAAGCCAGGTCAGGTTTGGAGCAACGGGCCAGCTCTGTCACTGGGGGCACCCTACCTGCTCTGCTACTTCTCCAGGTGGTCCCAGGCCTGCCTGTGGTCAGCTTGTGTGCAGTACTGTTTTGCTTCCTGGTCCTTCTCACCTGCTGACCCGAGCCTGCCCCAAACCCCCCCTCCGGGAAGCAGCCCCTGAATTGCCCCTGCCTTAGTGGGAGCAGAGTTGTATCATTCTGAGCCATTTCCAATCTTCTAGCAGTCCTGGTTCTGCCAGCCAAGCCAGCACACTGTCCACCCCTGCCCGGGTCGCCAGGCCTGTCCTACGGTGTGCGTTCACAGCTCCCACCTGCTCCTCTTCCTCATCCTCCTCCTCATCCGTGTCCTGGCAGGCTGTCTGTGGAAAGAGGCAGCCCAGCTCAGGAAGAGGAGAGCCGGGGCTCCCCTGTCCCCTCCCTTGGTAGAGGGAGGCAGAAGCTGGACTTGAGGTGTCTGATGATGCCCATCTGGCCAAGCCCTCCACAGGCGCCCCTGCCTGTGCCCACCCCACTCACCTTCCTCTGCAGCACAGACTTGAGCATGCTGCAGAGCTCAGCAAGGCGCCCGGGGGGTTGCAGTGTGAGGGCCCCACAGCTGCGCAGCACCCCAGTCAGGGCCTCCAGCACGGCCATCACCACCTGGCGCTCACGCTCCCCATTCACGGCCTGCATGTAGGATGGCACCACCCGGGCCAGGGCAGCCTGCAGGGCTGGGGACATTCTTGGCTGAAGCCCTAGGCAGACCCAGCGCGTCCCTCCCCACCAGAGGCCCAGGCCAGCCCAGGTCTCCCCTCCTCACCAGCACTGTTGGGTTCTGAGGGGCAGCTTTGACAGGCCTTGTGCAATGCACAGCAGAACTGACCCAGGGCTTCGTGTGCCGCCTTACGCACATTCAGGTGAGGGCACTGCGGGGTGAGGAGGGCAGGTGAGCCTGCTCAGTGTGCGGGCCAGCCCAGAGCCCAGAGCCCAGAGCCCCAGGACTCACGGGCACACTCACCTCCAGCAGCTTGAAGACTTCTTCGAAGGCAGCCTCCATGTAGGGAAGAAAGGCCACACTGTGGGCAAACACGTGGCCATGGGGAGGGGGTTCGCAGGCAGCGCTCCCAGGGTGAGGGAGGGGCCGAGCCTCACCTGGCATTCACAGAGATCTCCCCTAGGGCCGCACAGGTGCCTTCCTTCTCGTCAAAGAAGGCGTTCTCCACACTGTACCTACAGGCGGGAGGCAGTGGCCGTCAGGCCTAAACCCAGCACAAGCAGGAGCGGATCCAGCACTGAGCCCGTCCAAAGCTGGATTCCTGTGAGCAGAACAGCCCCCCATTCTCACCCTGAGATTTCAGAGTCTTCCTCCTCTTCCTCATCCTCATCCATGAGCTCCTCCTCTTCTTCCTCATCACTCTCGTCATCAAACAGGAGAAAGGAGCTGCTTCCGTCGTACTGAGGCTGGGCAGTGGCACAGCAAAGACTGGCTTAGTGGACCCAGGAGATAAACCCCATCCCAGGGCCCACCTTCCCCACCCGGTCCAGCCCACCCACTCTGCTCACCACAATGCCCTCGGTGGAACGCAGTGATAACAACATGAGTGTGGTGATCTGCGGCAGGTAGGGGGCCAGGCCTTCACCCATCAGCCCTGATAAGGCTGCAAACAGGCTGTACCTGGTGGAGGCAGGTGGACTCTGTGTCGTCTTGACTGTTAGAGCCAGACCAGATGGGGGAGCCTGGGGAAGCCTATGGTTTAGACCAGAGGACTGGGGCCGTGGAGCCAGCGGGTGGGCAGGATTCATGGGGAGAGGGCTCACTCACGTGCAGCGCCGCAAGTCAGGGTCGTCTACCTGGTCGCAAAGGCCCAGCCCCAGCTGGCAGCATTCCTCAGCCAGGGGCCTCATGGGCTCCCCCACTGCTCGTGCCAGCACCCCCAGTGTGTCTGTGGAGGCCACAGCATGTTAGCACTGGGACGCAAAGGCATCTGCACCGCGCTGGGGAAGAGTCCTGGGAACACCAGGTGAGCGTCAGCCTTTCCCTGAACTGGGACCCCGACTCACCCAGGCTCTGGATCTGCACAAGCTGAAGGTCCTCATGGCCTGTCAACAGGAATTCCCGCAGGTGCTCCATGATGGTGGGGAAGTAGGGCAGCAGGGCGGCCTGGGCAGCCGTAGCTGCAGGGTGAGGAGGGTCAGAGCTGAGGGGGGAGCTGGGCAGGGCCACTGCCACAGGACTTTCTGAGTGAACCCACGCCCCCACCTTCTGCTCACTGTGCCTCACCAATGGCCCCCAGGGCGCTCACAGCCAGCTCCTTGGCCCGGGGACTGCTGGGGCTCCTCAGGGGCTGCAGCATGCACTCTATAAGCTCCGGAAGGTAGGGCTGTACTTTCGACCCTGTAGGAGAAAGCACTCCCTCTAACAACCCACACACATCTCACTCCTTGTGGCGGCCCACCTCCTGCCAGGCTAACCCTCCTTGCCCACTGCGGCCCTTTCCCCACCGCCACTGGGTTTCAGACAGTTGCACCTTGGCCTCTTTGGCCAAAGCGCTATCCCCCCCTCAAGTCCCCACTGTCATCACTACCGAGGTTCTCCACAAAATTCTCCAGGGCATAGCAGGCCTTGGCTAGGTGTTGTGTGTGCCCTGGAGGCACCGACTTCAGGTAGGCAAGGAGCAGTGGCATCACCTCCCCTGAATAGCTGCTGATGTGAGGCTAGGGGAGAAGAAGGTAGCCCGAGTCAGCTCAGCTGCAGGGCGCACACTTAGTGCCAACAGAGGAGGGATGCCCAAGGGGATGAGGAAGAAGGGAAGCTGGGCCCAGAAAAGGGGAATGCCCACATTGGGCCCTGCTGACCTGTAGGTTCTCTGAGAACTGGCCCAGGGCAAACAGTGCAGCATTGCGCACAACTTGTGACGGGTCCTCCAGGCCTTTGCACACGACCTGCAGCAGCGGAGGCAGCAGTCTGATCAGGCAAGACAGAGGGCAGGTCTGAGGGCGGGGTCCATAAGCCCTAGGGGACCTGCTGTCCTTACTCCGGGAAAGCCCAGGCTCTCTGTCACCAGAGGGTGGCATCACCCCTAGTTCCTACGGTTGGAGTAGCCGCGTATTTTGTCTCCCAATCCAGACACTTCTGAGGGAGGGGAAGCACTGAGGCTGACTAGGCTTGTGCAAGCACGGACCAAGGCCACCATGTGCTGTGTTGTCTTCCTCCCCGTGGCCCGCCCTCACTCCGGGACAGGGGCATAAACACCTCTGTCTGATGTGGTCGCCAGCTCCATCGGACAGCACAGCCAGCACCAGGAGCCCTGCCTTGCGCTGGTACGGACTCTCGCTCCGCAAGGCCTCCTCCAGCATGGGCATCTAGAAGAGTACGTGGCACACTCCTGAAACCCAGCCCGAGCCTGCCCATTCCTGGGGCAACAGGCCCTTCACCCACCAGGGCCCAGGCAGCCTTGGCCTTAGGGAACCAAGCACACCAGCAGGTAGGAGCACCAAAAGGCCAGGACAGATTCACACTCACCAGCAGGGGACAGAGCTTCTCTGGGGGCAAATGTAATGCCAGCATGTCCACGACCTAAAAAAGTTGCCGGTCTCCAAATCTGCCCCTCACACCTCCCACAGTCACTGGCTGCATGGCCCCCAGCAACCTTCCTTCATCCCACCTGTACAGCAAAGTGCTTAGGAGTCTCCCCAACCAGTCCAATTTCCAGCTCTTCATCCTCAGAATCCTCATCCTCAGGGTCCAGCTGGCCCGGGGGGGGCTTCGCAGCCATTATAGGGAAGAGGGTTTGCAGCAAAGGTGGCAGGAGACGACTCTTCAGTAAAGCCTTCAAGAGGATGGGTAGAATAGTATCTCTAAGAATCTGCTCCCAAGATGGACTTGCCATTAAAAACTCCAGTCTTCCAAGGGATCTAGCAAGACATTCCTAACCTCCCACCCAAGAATTAGGAAAAAACCCAGACCAACTACGGTATTTCAGATACCGGGAGATGAAGAGAAAGTCCCGAGGATGAAGATGTGGCTGGAGTGATGTGTCAGAAGCACTCACCTTGCTCTTGACTTTCACCAAGAAAGCGAGGCAGCAGAGAATACGCACACGTATTGCATCGCCCAGGGCCACATTTCTAGCCACCTATCCAGAGACTAATGAGAATCAAAGACAGACAAGGAACCTTCCAGCAAAACAAGCAATGGGGGTATGCTCACTCCAGACTCACCCCCAGGCAGAAGTTGAGGACCTCAGAGAGGTGGGAGGTGATAATGGGCACCTCTGACTCCAGCAGTTCATCCAGGGCCTCCAGGGCCTCACAGGCCTTTGCCTGCCAGACAAGTCATTAGGTTACTATGTTCTTCTCCAGGGACCAGACTGGATGCTCCTGCCCACCTGTCCTCACCTCATCTACAGGGATCAGAGTCTGCACAGCCATGATGAGTTTGGGCACCAACATCCGTGCAAGAGGCTGGAGGACACAGGATGAGCTTAGTCACAGTAAGCATGATGGACCCTAACCTGAGAGCCTAGAAGCTGACAGCTTCCTGGAAGCCTGGACACAGGAGGAGCCCAGGACCCCACCAAAGTATCCCCTCTCAGTTGTTAGAAAGAGCAAAGGGCAGAGAAAATCTGCATCCCCCAAGGGTGAGAACAAGAACAGAGGACAGGGAGCCAGGGAAGGTGAGGCCCACATCTCACCACATCCTCAGTGCCGAGGTAAGGGGCCATGGTGGTTAGAGTGCGCAGGGAGTAGAAGAGGAGCCCAGGAGAGCCCACCTCACCAAGGGTCTCATTTAGAAGCCGAAGGAGTTCCCGGTGGTGTGGTTGGAAGGCCTCGGGCCGGGAGGACACCAGCACACTTAGCAATAGAAGTCCCATCTGTTCAGGAGGAGGATGAGAAAAAAGTGTCCACGGTCCAGCCAGCTTCTTCAGCCCTCCTTTCCAACCATGTGATCACCAAACACACACTCTTACCTCTCTCTCAGGAAGGTGGGCGCTGTGGGTACTGTGTTGAAGTAGCTGCATGAGCTGAGGCCAGGCCTCCAGGCCTTCCTTTCGAAAAATGGTGGCTGCGAGCTGGGCCAGACTAAGGCTCACAGAGTGCCTGCAAAGAGAAGCCCCCGCCCCAATCACCCTCCGATACCTTCCCTTGCAGTCACTAGCCCAGCGGCCATGTGGTAGCCAGTAAAGAAACCTCCAGGAGTGGGTACTGAGTCTTTGCCCAGTTGGGCCACATGAGACAGCCACTGAGAGAGATGGCAGTCTGTGGGTGAGGGATCTGGTGAACCCGGCCTCATTTAGACTGTTTCAGTTCCACACCTCTAACTTAGGTTTGGCAGGGCACCACAGCCCAGTCAAGGAATTTTGTCTTAAGCAGTCTTAGAATTCTTGCTCCACCCTTGATCTAGAAATCAAGTCCCAGCCTGGAGCTGAAAGAGAAGGCAGAGACCCAACGGGGATCTCGGCCTGAAGTCCGTCAGAATCCTGAGAAGCGGCGAGGAGGCACTTACGCAGTCTCTCTCTGGAGGGCCGTCAGAACCAGGGACTTGAGGCTGGAACACAGGTGGCAGGTATTTGGGATTGAGCCTGCTCCGGAGCCGCCACCGCCCGGCGCGCCCCGGCCCCGGCCCCGCCCCGCCCCGCCCTTGGCCCAGCCCACCTCTCTCGGTGATCCGCGGCCAGCAGTCGCCAGCGGGTGCTTAGGCGTCTGCGGGTCAGCACGGCCGCAAACTGGCGGATCTGGGACGAAGAAGACGGCATGTCTGGACTTGGGCAGCTAAGTGCTGAGTGGGCCGCAGGTGCCAGTGCCGGGGCTTGACCAGAGGGTAGGGTGGGAGCCTCGCGGGAAGGGGCAGGACAGTCACCTGAGGGTCGGCCGCCGAGGCCAGCAGGTCGCAGAGCGCCGGCAGGGCGGCAGGGTCCCGGAGAGCGATCTGGAGCTGCTCGGTGGCCTGGGGAGAGGCTGGGGGTCAGTCTGGCCCGGCCCGCAACCTCCCGCGCGGTCCGGCATTGCCCCTCCGGCCCCGTACCCGGCGGATGCGTTCGGTGTCGGGTTGCAGCAGCTCCCGTAGGATCTGCTCCAGGCCGGCGGGCTCCATGGCAGCCGCCGAGCCGCCGCTGCGAGGCCGGTAGGGGGAGGGACTGCACGTGGAGATTCTGAGACCCACTTCCGGCGGAAAGGGCGTTGCTCCGCGCCGCTCCGGTCGCCGGGGTGATTCACTCGCTTCCCACTGCGGACTCCAGCTCGGCCGCTTCCGTTGGGTCGAAAGCCCGCGGAAACAGGACTCTGCTGACGGAGGTTCCCCCGGCCGAGAGTTCCCAAGCTCCGCGCAGAGCTGGAGTCGCGCGCTGTCAGCGGCGGATTTGGCGTTCTAAGGGACCCTGCCCTTAACTGTCGGGCTCACGTTCCTATATAGACACCAAACCCTTTTTCTTAATAAATTTTATTTTGATATTTGTAAAATGAAAAGTCAGGGCCAAAACGAAAGGCAACTTAAAATGTTCAAATATATACTCCTTGTATAGAGATTTATAATTCCCAGGCCTCTCTGGGGAAGGGAGGCCCAGCGCACGGAGGGGAAGGCTACAAGTGCCGGCGCACAATTGAGTCATTCAGTGAGAAGAGTTGGTAAGACATCAGTAGGGTGTGAAGAACGAACGGGAGGGCAGAGCAATAGTTTTGCCCCCCAGTGTTCAGTCCATCTTGAGGTTAACATAGATGTAGCGGATGAACTTCAGGGAAGAAAAAAAGGAAATGGTACCCAACATAAGGAAGAAGATGTAACCTGTGAGTAAGGAGTAGCCAAAGAACTCTACTGTCTGTACCGCCCCTGACATGTTGGAGCGCCGGGCATAGTAGAAAACTGAGTAGAGGAAGATGAAGAGCCCAGTGGAGCCAACACTGAGCACAGATCGCCACCACCAGCGATAATCCTCCCCAGACAACTGGAAGTAGGTGAGCGCAATGGAGATGCAGGCGCCGACACTCAGCAGAATGGCGAAGACGAAGAAGAGGATGCCGTAGAGGGTGTACTGCTCCCGGCCCCATACCGTGGCGAAGATGTAGTAGAGCTCCACAGAGATGGCACTGTGAAGAGAGACGAGGCGCACTGACGGGCTGCGCGCTGCCAGCACAGGGGCCAGGCCAAAACCCAGCCACCACTCGCGCGCCCCGGGAAGGTGAGTACTCGCCACTCCCCGCTTTAGAGCCCTGACCTTCTGGGGATCTTTTACCTCTGATTAGCGGCTCCCAGGTCCAGAACATCTTCCTTGATAGTTTAAGAGCAGGAACCTTGTCTGTTTATTTTCTACTGTCTTATTGTTTTTCTGGCACTGGGGCCCCCCACCTTCTGGGCATACATTCTGAGACCCTCAGTGGATGCCTGAAACCTCAAATAGTACTGAATGCTATCTACTCATATTATGTTTTTCATATATATATAGTTTATATATGTATACCTACACAATGTATAATTTATAAATGAGACACAGTGAAAGTGCCTTGTAATTATTAACTACAACTAATAAAATAGAACAATTATATCAAATATACTGTAATAGAAGTTATATAAATGTGATCTCTCAAAATACCTTATTGTACACAGTATTATGGAGCTGTGGCTGGCTACAGATAACTGAAACCATTAAAGCAAAACTACAGATAAGGGGCAATTAATATATTAAATAAACTGTGAGTAATCAAATGGACTTTAAGCCCCACCTGATACCTGTAGACACCAAAGTCAGAAACCGTGGTGAAAGGAGCATTATCTCTGGAGAGCTTTATACGTGAGATATCCTGAGCCGATTCAAACTCGGTCCTTGAGAAGAGGAGGCATCATCTAACGATCTCTTAGTGGTAGATGCCTGTTCTCTCCACTCTCTCCGGTGAATCCTCTTACCCCCCTCCACACACATACCTCTGGCCTACACCCCAGTTCTTGTATGCATAAATAAGTCTTAAAAAAACAAACCCCACTCTAGAACACTAAAATAAATTATCTTAGTGGTAGAAGTGAACCAGGACTATCACTGAACCAGGCAAGGGTGCAGGGAGAGAGAGTGGTGAAAGGACAAGTGAAGGGCAGGGAAGGCCGACCTGGGAGTGAGGGCCATGGCGACCTGGGAGTGAGGGCCATGGCGACCTGGGAGTGAAGGCCATGGCGACCTGGGGATGAGGGCCAGGGCGACCTGGGGGTGAGGGCCATGGTGACCTGGGGGTGAGGGCCAGGGAGACCTGGGGGTGAGGCCAGGGCGACCTGGGGTGAGGTCAGGGCGACCTGGGGGTGAGGCCAGGGTGACCTGGGGATGAGGGCCTGGGCGACCTGGGAGTGAGGGCCAGGGCGACCTGGGAGTGAGGGCCAGGGCGACCTGGGAGTGAGGGCCAGGGTGACCTGGGGATGAGGGCCAGGGCGACCTGGGAGTGAGGGCCAGGGCGACCTGGGAGTGAGGGCCAGGGCGACCTGGGAGTGAGGCCAGGGCGACCTGGGG